CACATACAGTAAATAACATTTATTGAGCCAAATGCTCAGAATTGAAGCTTTGATTCAGCTGACATGGTGAAAAGTAGATAACCTTGATGTGGTTATCACTTTAGAATGTTTATGGGCTTTAAACATTTTGTAAAACAATCAGATAAATAAAACTTCTCCTTTTCTTATCAGATCTGCAAGCACATTTACAAACACATGTAGTGTACCCTTATCACTGCCTAACATGAGTGTACAGCTGCTGGGGCAAACGTTTGATTGGCACATTAAAAATCAGTGAACAATGACAAATTAACATCACTTGTATGTTGTGCCAGGAGAATTAGCATTGACACTGCAAAAAAGTGGATAAATTTGTATTTAAGGATCAGTCTTGGCTACATTACAATAGTGTCTTTCCTAATTTGCATACTGTCTGCAAACTCCTGTTTTTCTGCCTTCATTAGCATATTTATTAATTCACTGCAGTGAATGTACACATCACAGAAGATAATGACTGAGGTAAATCACTCCAGGTTTTAATTGTTTATCTGGGAAAGTGTGAGAAAGGATTGTGGAAGACAACATCTGGAAGGGATTTACTGCCTGAGTTGTCACTCAGCAGAATTTTTTGCTTCCCAATCAGTTATGAAAAATGCCATTTGTGCAAGTATGACTAACATTATTTAATTATCTTTACGTCATCTTACATTTCCTCACTGCACCGAAGAAATTTAATTATAGATTTGTTTTCTAATTTAAACATCAAATTACCAAAAAATACTTAACAACTGTTTTGTTGTTGTTCTTTTTGACTTTCTTCTTAGATGATGGTGGTAAACCCTTTGGTACACCACTGACATTGGATGACCTTTTTGAAAAAACATTCCAAATACATGATCCTGATGCGAAGTGGATCAGTGGTGAGTATGTTAAAACACCAGAATTCAGACCCCAAGTCAACGCTGTAAAGACCTGAAGTTATCTGAAAAGTTCACTCTGTAATACTGTTTATGAAAGTTGACATGTTATTACAATAGTACAGGTTACCTTCTCAACAGAGTGAGCCATAAAAGCGCCCTGCATTCAGCATGATTAGGGTTTACACCCTTTTATTGCAAAATGGATTGCTACAACTTCTGACAAAGTGTCAGGTATTTTTAAAAGGCTTATTTAATTTTAGTGTTTCTTTTTTCATTCTGCTCTTCCATTTTAATTGTTGTTCAGGTAGAAGACAATCAAATAAACTTGCATTCATCAGTCTGGTGTTTCTTTTAGCAAAACAGATCCAGATTGAATTGAATGAAGTTTTTTTTTTAAAATGCCTTTCAAAGCAGAAGTCACAAAGTGCTTTACAATTCAGAAAAACACAACAATTAAGATGGTATAAACTAAATAAAGGTAACCCTGAACAGGTGGAGCTTAAGTTCTTAAAGGTATCAATAGTGTCCACAGATTGTATGTTCAGTGGAAGTGAGTTCCAGGACTTGGGGTCACATCCTCAAAAGCACATTGTCATTTTGTCTTTAACCAGGATCTTCAAGCATCAATCAGCAGACCTCATACATCCAGATGTCACGTACGATTTTAGTAGTAGCTCACTGATCTGACCATGGAAGGCTCTGAAAGTAACCGCCAAATTTTAAATTAAACCCTAAACTTTATGGGGAAACGGTGCAGTGAAGACAGCATTGTTTTCATACAGGATCTTTTAGGGTACCCGATGAGAATGAGCGGTATTCTGGATATCTGTAAATGATCCAGGGATGAATTCCTCAGGTAAAATGTGGCCTCACTGGAATGCTACAAAGAGAGTCTTTATCTTTATAAGGAGTCTTTAGTCAAGCTTGAATCTCTGTGCTGTAAACAGTTATTTGCTTTGTAGCTGCTTAAACTAAATTACATTAGAACAACATAAAAGTGCTATATTTCCCATTTGTTACAATATAACTTCTAAAGTCCAGTAAAGTAAGAATGACAAGAAGTACAACTATGTCAAGTAACCCCTTAATAAGTATATTATGGCAAAAAGGGACATTGTATAGACTGTATTTTAGACATTTTTATATGTCTGACATATAAAAAAGTCACTAAGAAATGCAGTCACTGTGAGATATATATATATATATATATATATATGATTGTAAATAACTGTGAGCCAGCTTGTCTCTTAATCTGTTTTCATGCATGTATTCATACAAACTTCAAGAGAATCAGGCAGCACACAGGATGACTACACACCAGGTGTGAATACATTGCACTATTACCTGGGCTCAGACATCACACAGACTTTGCATTAGGAAGCTGGCAGTAAAACACCATTTAACTGGCTGCAGTGCGTGAGTGAAAATAGCTTTCGCAGCACCTCAAGTATATTTAAGAAAGTTTCACTTTTAATTTATACATGTACATTCCAATAAGATTATAGTGTTGTTGTTGTTAATGTGACTGCTGTATTGCCTCTTGCAGGGTTCCAGTAACTTTATGAGCATATAGTACGTGTAATGTAGTAGACCTGACTGCACACTATTGAGTTAGTAATGTGTTAAAGCTGGCAAGACATACATCATATGTACAGCTTTATAGCAAAGAGACGGCACATAAGCTGCAACAGAGAGCAGGCGGAAGACAGGGAGTAAATATCTTCCATCTATGTCACCTGTTCAACTCATTGAGTTATACCTGCACAGTGGTGAAACAAGGTAATCAGAGTTTATTACTGCCTCTAAGGACTTCAGACTGCTTTAAAACCTTTGCTCAAAACCTTATGGCACAGCTAAGCAAACAATTTCACTCTGGATACTTTGAGACTTTAAAGAGAGAGAAAAATAAAATTCCCCACCAAAATCCTTATAATCCACCAAAGCTCTAATAATTTTGATAATCAAACTTGACCTGATGTTACAGTTTGTTTTTTACCCACGCAGTTATATTGTTTTTACATAAAGTATATACACTGCTAAGAAAATAACACTTTTTGATCAGAGTATAGCATCAAGTCATTTAAACTTTAGGGATATAGATCTGGTCAGTTAAGTTTTCAGAGGTGTTTGTTAATTTGTTTCAGACACTTTTGCTGTGTCTCCCAGGAAAGTCTAATGAGCATGGATTGTTCAGCATGACCGGTTTGATATGAGTCAGTGATGGTCTGGGGAGGCATATCCATGTGCAGTGGCACTCTGGCTGTCATTTTGTATCAAGATGAAATCATTGGACCAATTTGCAGATGGGTCTTTAGTTCCTTCTGGTGCATGACAATGCCCAGCTTCATGTGCTCAGAGTATGTAGGCAGTTCCTGGATGAAGGAATTGATAACATTGCCTACCTACCACAACAACCTGACCTAATCCACTAGAAAACCTTCTGGGACATTATTATTTTACTCAATCCAGCTCCGCCAGGTTGCACACCAGAGTGTCCAGAAGCTCATTGGTCTTTGAAATCACTGCCACTGGACTATAGAGAGCAGTGGAGACATGTTCTCTGGATTGAGACATCACACTTCTCCATTTGGCAATGGATTTATTAGATGCCAGGAGAATGATACGGGTCTGACTGCATTGTGTTAATTATAGTGTGGGGTTGTCTTTCAGGAACTTGGACTTCACAAACCTCACAAATGTGCTTCTTCCAGAATTTTCAAAAAAAATGTTATAAACAATTACTGCTAACATTTCTGAACTTTGTGGAAAGCCTTCCCAGGAGAGTTTCAATTGTTATAGCTGCACACGGTGGGGCTAACATCAAATTAAACCATGTGGATTAAGAATGGGAGGTTTATTTGAGTATGCTGTTTATCTGTATTTCACAATAGATCAGGCTACAATAATAATGGATGTTTCTATAGCTTGTTATTGGCAAGAAATAACAAGCTATAGTTCATATCTGAGCTGCTTACTTACTGTGTCAAACCAAATCAGAGTTTTCCTCAGAACAGATTGAAGGCAATGTAATGTGTATTTAATTTTAGGATGTTCTTCTCTTTTCCTGTTTTCTTCCATTACCCACTTTACATGTGCTCAAACAGCCTGCAATATAATTACTATGTGGTCTGCTTTAAATGACTGAAATAATAATAAGAGATATTGAAAACATGCCCTTGAAACCTTCTCCTTCTCCTTTTAATAATTTAAAAGTAAACTTTACTTCTCCAACACAAAGAGTTATCATCAGTGAGTTTTGATTGGTTTATAGTCAACCACTGGAAATGAAACTCTTAAGTGACACTGGGAGAAATCTAATAGTTTTGTTTGTTTCTATAAAGAGGCCCAGATGCACTCTCCCTGCAGACTCACCATGAAAAACACATCAACACAAGTACCACTCATCATAATGGAAGGACTTTATTCTTTAGAGGCTCTCTGGTGAATGGTTTTACACCATATGTAAGTAGTGGTGCTTTCAAGCTGTCTGAGCTATCCTTTGTCTGACAGGACCACTGCGGTTGGCTCCTCTCGGTCATGCTTACTTTTCTGCTCCTGAAAGTCGGACTGTGCAAATCTATATGGTCCTCTCAAATACTGCCTGTCTTACATTCAGCAGAATAAAAGTACCAGAGTAATCTTTGAGGAAGCCAACTTCCACTTCAAAATTGGCTTTTATCAAAACATAGGTTTCTTTGTAAAAGTTCCTGAAAAAAGGACACAGAACTCAATGAGAACTTTGCAGAACTAGTTTCTGAAAGTAGTTTTACAACTGAAACTGAAATGAACTGATACCTTTTGTTTGAGGCAGACACATATTATATTATAACAATATAATATGTGTCTGCAATGTGTTAATTTTCATGAGATTAGGTGATTTGGAACAATACACATTTACCAATCACACCTGATTGTCTATGCAAAGATCTAATCAGCCAATCAGAGCAGCAACGACTGCACATTTAGGCTCGCAGACATGGTCAGGACTGCTAAAGTTTAAATCAAGCATCAGAATGGGGAAGAAAGTGGCTTTGAACGTGAATTGGTTGTTGGTGCTAAAAAGAGCTTGAGTATTTCAAAAACTGTTTATCCCCCATTACACCACCTCTATTCAAACTAGAGGCGGTGTAATGGGGGATATTTCTGTGGCACATTTAGGGCCCCTTAGTACCAAGTGAGGATCGTTTAAACACCACAGTGTACCAGAGTATTGTTGCTCACCATATCCATCCCTTTATGACCACAATATGACCCATCTTCTGATGGCGGCTTTCAGCAGGGTAACATTTTATGTCACGAAGGTCAAATCATCTCAAATTGACCCCATAGCCTCCAGATCTCAATCCAATGGAGCACCTGTAGGATGTGGTGTAATGTGAGAACTCAGAGTATGGATGTGTAGCCATGGTGCTAGCTAGGCATAAATAATAAAGTGGTTGGGGGATGTATATATTCTGTTAATTAACTCCTGATTTCATCATAGACACCTCATGCATTTATATTATCACCACAAGACATGACAGCTTCTCCACAATGAAATGCATGTCAACCTTTTGTCCAGGCTCAAAAAGAACACACAATTATTGAGTTATTGGCATCAAATCAGGGATAAAGATTTTATAAACACTAGTAAAGGCAAAAATAAAATCATGTTTAGAAGAATATTAAATGAAGCATATCGAATGCAGGTAAAAAGAGGGATAAAGTATATTCTTAAAGACACCAAAAAACTCTGCCAGACACAGAGAGAAAAACAAGTCTCTGGTCTCTCTCTCAGTTGCCTCACTTCGTTCTTGAAATGCATAATAAACACTCTGCCAAGGGCTCTTTAAGTCTTTACTCATTCATTACTAGGTCCACTTCGATCAGAAAGGTACAACAAGACAAACTTTTATTGCTCCAAAGCACCAAATGTTCATATTATATATGCAGGGTTCTGACAGGGTTATTGTTTAATACGAATGGCTCTGCAGTGCTCCGCCAGTGCTGAGACTTTCTGACTGCCAACTTACTTTCACCAACTGATTCAAATTTTTCAAAGCTT